AACTCATGGTAACCCTAGTATTTGAAACAATAGAGGATAAATTAACAATTTTCCTGATTCCCAACTAATGGACCGATTATATAAATTTTGACAGTTACGGGAAGCTACATTGGTTATTATCAACACGTCGACAGCTTCAATTTTTTTTAAATATGTCTTAATATCAATAATTATAATGAAAATGTTTTTTTTTTTAATTTTTAACTCTTTTTTTCAGTACAAAATGTAAACTGCTCTCATAAAAGGTTACCTGTGTTACTAAAGGCAGGCTCCTCCTTAAATACATTGCAAATGATTATATTTAATTGTAAATATTAATAAGACAACGAGAACATAATATAATGCCCGTGTTTTGTGCGTGTGTGAGTGTATGAGTGCGTGCGTGTGTGTGAGATTTTGTGTGTACACGCTTGTGTTGTGTTCATGTGTGTGTGTGTGTGTGTGTGTGTGTGTGTGTGTGTGTGTGTGTATTTGTTTGTGTTGTGTGTGTGTGTTGCATGCTCACGTAGTATTTGTGTATTACATATCAACATGTATTTATCTGATTTTTTGGAAAGGCTAGTAATTGTTTTGTATTATTTGTTCCAAATCATCATGCTTGTTCTAACCATTTTGTGATCGAGTCCTGAAACTTTTTTGACCTGCATTTTGCAATGTCTCAGTAACTTGTTATAAAGACATGAGGCTTTATATGTGAAGCGACGTTTAACAAGTGCTAAGTGAACAGTTGGAATTTTGTATCTAGGGATTCTTCTTTTTACCAAGGGTATATATGGACCTGTTTTGCAATGGAACCTACATAGTATAAGGAAAAAATAAAGTTTGCGAACTGGGAGAACAATTGCTTTCTGATATTGTTATTCTGAGGGAATCTATATGGTAGACTTAAAGCTACTTTAAGTACAGCTCTTTGAGCTCTATAATTGTATCATATGTGTTACTGAAGATGAGTATACATTGACAAAGGGCTCTATAAGGCGTAGTGGTTTAAAAACAAAGATCAGTGTCCGAGCTTTTGCCATCGTGCTTGTGTTCTTTCCATTTTAGACTTTCATCTACAATCACACCTAAGTACCTAATTTTTGGAACGCGTAAGAGTGTTGGGCAATTGCAGTTAAGCTTGATTTTTTGATTACATGAAAATGTGTGTAAAGTAGCTCCGTGGCGTAGAGGATAAGCGCCGCGGCCCGCGATCGTTGTTGTTAAGCAACTTTCGCAAAGGTCGGTCACGGGATGGGTGACCAAAAAATTATTATCTCGAGCTACTTCGTGCTTCGGAAAGCACGTTAAGCCGTTGGTCCCGGCTGCATTTGCAGTCGTTAATACCTTCCAATCCGCATTGGACCAGCGTGGAGGGTCATGGCCCATCCTGCTTAACCATCCATATGGAAGGCCTGAGCCCCTGCAGTGGGGACGTAAAAGGGCTGATGATGTGTGTAATGTAAGAGTTAAATTATGTCTTCGGATCTTTAGTTTTAGTCTTACTGAAACACAAGAATTTCGTTTTTTCAAAATTTATTGATAGGAGATTTTCCTCTAATCAATTTTTTTATCCCACATATATAATATTTCGCGTTTGCCCGCGACTTCGTCCGCGTGGCAAAGGTACTTTGAGCAGCATTTCCAACGAATATTTATTCATTATAACGTGTAAAATACCTGAAATAAAGTTTCATCCTCTATTTTATCCCCTTAATGATGGAATTGATCAATCCTTTCCTAGGGGATGCCTACATCATAGTAGCTTTATGCATGCAAAGTCTCAGCCCGATCGGTTTAAAATTGACACAGTTTTATACAAACTTTCATCCCATATTTTATCCCTTTGGGGGTAAAATTAATCAAAATCCTCTCTTAGCGGATGCCTACGTCATAAAATCTACCTGAATGCCAAATTTTAGCCCAATCCGTCCGGTGGTTTGGACTGTGCGTTGATAATCACTATGTCACTCAGTCACCTTATAGTTATATATATATATTTTTAGATGATAAGATTACATTTAAAACTATAACTAAAAATATACCTGCAATCATTGCCGACAGGTTTCGAACCAAATCGGAATATCAACGAAATGATAACGAAAAAAATAATAATTTAAAAGCTTTTCAATGATTGCATTTAACCACAACATTATTCACCTATCGCCAAATATTACCAGAGAAATAGCATCTCGATTAATCATTTTGAGATATAGTGAAGAGAACTGTTCCAAAAAAGTTTGCTGTTTTTTAAACTCTATTGACCAACTATTGACAGGCTATCTGGTGGTGCGGGGGAACGTTCTCCGCTTAGATAAAACGCTTTTGTCCCTAAAAATTAGCTCCTCACTATCCACCGATGTCAAAGAACATCATCAATATAAGAGAGCTTTCATCGTTTAAATGATAGTATGAGTATTTTTTTGGTTACGAGGTCGGTCTGTTACATATTCTATGGTAGTATGAAATTATTTGCTATCAATGCTAAATAATAAATTCAAATATTAAACAAAACAGAAGATAGACAAGAGTATTTTGAAATAAACTGAAATCATTGGAGTAATATTCATGACCAGTTGCTTTACAGCGACATGGACATTGAAATTATAGCCTATGTCACCAGTGTATGACGTATAAAGAATTTAAAAAAAAAACGGTCCAGTAGTTTTGGAGCCTATTCGATTCGCAAACAAACAATCAAATGTTATTATAAAAAATAAGGTTTAAAAAAACATGGCTTTGGCTATGACGCTTTGTTTTCTCAACTGATGTACGTACAGTTGAGAAAAGAAAGCTTTCAAAACTTTCTACTTTACCTAATTGACAAATATGTATAATTATTCATTTATACTAATATATATTTACATATAAAATTTCCCATTAATCATAAGTCTAGTGACGTCATAATGTTATTGAATATCTATTTGTTAAAATCCTTACTACTGACTGCTTACGAAAACATAATTGAAATACGTAAGAGGGCGCGTATACAAAAATACCGGCCAGGTACGAGTCGGAAATGCGCACGAATTTATCTGTGATATATAGCTATATATATAAAAAAAAAACTAAATCCCGACTACAGCTAAATCACGCTCTAAAAAGTTTGAAACAAGAAATTTATTTTATAGCGATAGCTATAAGGACAGTGTAGTTGTATGCCACTGATCATAACAAAACAAACTGTTGGGTTTTAGTTTTTGAACTTATTTTTTTATTTAATAAATTTTCGGGTGTATTTAAGCAAAATTGTATGCAAAAACTCTCAATAAATAATAATAATAATTGAACAAGCCGATATTCTTGCGTCCTAGGAGGTACTGAGGGTAAATAAAACCGCGTCATAAACTGACCATAGTTTTATATACCAAAAACAAAAATAGCCTCACTTACAAGGAAACTGACATTAGATATATACATTTTTAAACAAAACATAACACCGCGATATTCTAAATGTACAACTCTATCTTTTATTGAAAATAACAAATATATATGTCATAAATATCATTCACGTAACCATAAATACATTATTTTATTTGTGTTAATAATTAAACTAAATACATGCATAAACGGCTTATACAATAATAATATACTTTATTGCAATCAATATGATACAATGTTTACATGGAATGATTGAATGTATTTTTTAATTTCTTACTTTATGCTCTTTATAGGGCGCTGTTACAAATTTAATGTAACGTCACATAGCTTATAGCACGCGGTCAATAAGTCCAGTTACGATGAATAGTTTCAAAGTTATCGGCCAAAAACGTAAATATTAGGTTTGTGATATGGGAGCCCCCTTTATTTACTTTTTGTTTTACACTCTCACTCTCAGTAATAATTTCAATCACTATCATAGTTCACGAGGTACAGAATGGTGACAGACGGACAGGCACCGGAGTTTTAGTAACAGGGTCTAAATTACTACTTTCAACTGTTTTGTAGAGTTGTTATACATAGAAAACTGTCATATTTCCCGAATATAATAAAAATTTGTACCAACCTAATTAGGAAAACTACAACAAACGAAATTATTTATTATATGTGTAAATAAAAGTATATTAACATATTTATTGATAAAATGTGTAGAAGGTTTTTATAGCTAAAGTCTAGCTTTAGCTAGCTAGAGAGTTAGTCGGTATGGTCGCTGAGTGGGTGGAAAAAACTGTTCTTACTATCTAGAAGAGTCAAAGTAGAGTTGCCAACTGTCATGTTTTCCCAGAACATGCAGTCTTTAAAGTCTCTGGTGCGACCGCCTAATTCTTTAGCAATAGGATACGACCTAAAAGTAAGTACTGTAGTGGGGACATAAAAGTGCTGATGATGATGATGATGATGATCTTATCGATGTTATGACATATCTGTTTTTGGATAAATTTATGTTAAATTACTGATTTGGTAACACTACAGTCAAATCCACAATCATATTTTTTTATCATTCGTCGATTGTTAATAAAGTACATATTAAAGAAGCAAAATGAAACGAAATTACAATATCGTCAAGATGTAGTATACTATATAGAGAATCATGGCTAGAGAGTTAGACGGACGCATCCCTGGTATGTGTTTAGTTTTTATCCAATGTCTTGGATTTTTAAGTAGCGTCATGGGTTTTTGGCAGCAGCGGCATCGAGTAGTTTTATTGTTAAATCGAAGAAAGAATTATTTAAAAAAAATTACATGTATTTTGTATATAATAAAAGCATTCATAGTAAAGATTAAAGTAACTATAATTGTACCTGCATACAGAAAAAATATGACATACATTTATTTTAAAAAAATTGCATTTAAGTTCATTTATTAAAAAGTTGAAACCAAACGCTTATAATAATTTAAAAGCAATTAGGCAGCAGTTTATTCACGGACTGTTCTTATTTTAAAAATGCGTTCCGTGTACATTCAAAGCGATATTTTGAAACAATTAAACGCAGCGGGAGCTTGAGATAGAAAAAAAATCTCTATAGACTAGACATTTGGGCGGCGACGCATCGCGCATGCGTCCTAGCTCACACCCTGTTAACCCCGGCCAGACACAAAATGGCGATTGCCTAGCGCGTTACAAATTGATTTTTTTTTCACCACACCAGTTCAACACATACTTTTAAACGTACAAACCAGCCCACAAGAAATATATTCGAAAATAGACCGCCGCCGTGTGTAAACTACGCGTAAAAATATCCATTCCCACGTCATAACCTGTGCTGATAGTTAAAAAGCATCTTTTCTAATTTGTTAATTGCCTTTCTTTAAACAAATGATCAGTTTTTGTGTTGGATTCAACTGAAGTCTTTATTTTTGTGCAGCGGTGATATGTAAGTATATTTTTATGTTATATTATTAATACTGTCTTCTCGCCATAATTGAGATGACCAGTGAAATAGTGTGACCTAAAAATCTAGAGTTAATGCAGTTAGTAGGCACGTCGGCTCATTGAATAAGTCTCAGTGATGTGAAACTATTTGCGTGAAATTAAAAAAAGTGTCGTTATAAAAAGAACCTAATCGGAAAAAACATTTGCGGTATATTTTTCAAAATGTTAAAAAACGCTTTTTTGTTCTCTTTAATAAATAGTTTTGTTTCTTTTTGCTTGTAAGGCAGAGTTAGCTAATATGCCAGTGACATTATGACATAATGAGAGATTATGTGAGCGGTTTTCTTGGTGACGAATTTTCCCCGAATTTTTTGTATCCCACTCATTCTTTCACTCTTTCGCTCCCTATAGCGCTGTCCCTTTCTGGTATTCCTCAATGGGTATTAAGCATGCGCTGTGCTACGAAACACGAAGGGAAGTTCTCAGCATAATTATCTACAAAATTCCGAAAGGTGGATTAAAGATAGAGTTAATGCAAGGAGTTGGATTAACAACTTAAGCATAAACTTTTTTGGATTCTTTTTTTAAACTCTAAATTGTAGAAACGTATAAGTTGTAGATTAAAGATAGAGATAAATTAAAGGATTTGGATTAACAACTCCTTTTGAGTATTCACTTTTGGATTCTTTTTTTTTAACTGTAAGTTGTAGAAACGGTTTTAAAAGTATCGAAATAAAGTTCAAAATGGACTAATACTCAACACCTCCAGATATTTGGGAGTTCACTGTCGGGGCAAACATGACATCATTACACTAAATTACGATAATTACAAAGGCAGCATATTTAACATGTAATTATTTAAGGAGTATATTACCTTTTATACGTAGGTATAAATAAATTAAAAACACTCCTTTCAAAAAAACGAAAAGTTAAAAAGACGAAATTAATTTTCATATTGTACTAGTAAAGTGAACCCAAATTCGAGGCCGTTATATATTTATTACTATTAACCGTCCGACTTTAACAAGTTTCTTTAATACATTTATTGTCTCGTAGATAGCTTTAATTTTCTTTTTAAGTCGGTTAAATTTTATTATTAATAGCTTCATTAAGTTCACAGTGTTTACTTTCGTGCCGAGTAGGTACTGTGCATACAGTCCACAGAACGAATTATGTGCAAATTTGACAAATTTTAAACCTTAAGGTATTGTGTGTGACTAGGGTCTCAAATGTATAACCTCAACTACATGCATTTTGCAATTGTACCATCTATGTAAACTCCAATATTATTAGTGCAGTGTCTTCTTCACAAATCAATGGTCGTATATATATTTCATATTTTCTAATCTAGCAACAAGAACTGAGTCATAAAGGGTTGTAGTTGAAACGCGATTAACTTTCTATAATTACGATAACATAAGCTGAATTGCCTTACGACGTGTTTACCCTTTAAGGGTTGACTAGAGCTTCAGTTACTTCAAGATTTATATTTAAAAGTATATATTCTTCTGTACATCAAATTATAATTTAACAACAGTGTAGTTTTGTGAAACGATGATAGACCACAACAAACATATTGGTATATACTACAGATCTACTACTTTCATAAATGCTTTCGATAATGTTGATCATAAATAAATTCTCGATAAACTTACATATATTGGTGTCAAATGTAATTTGTGGTGATGATTTAAAATCTTGCATTGCCAACTGTACTCAGAAGGTCGTCATAAATGTGTATGAATCAGACTTAGTGATAGTTACCTCTGGAGTGCCCCAGGGGCCCATAATTGGTCCAAAGTTACTCATTGTAGTCATTAATGATCTCAGAATCTATAACATCATAAATAGATAAAACCACTGTTTTAGGGTACAAGATGATTTGTGTGTTAGAATTAAGTTAAGTACTAATATCAGCTAGGTTATCATATTGTTAAAAAAAAACATATTGTACAATACAAATATATATTAAATTATATACAACATGAAAATGTTGATTTTATCCCTGATTTAGGGGTTATATTGAAAAGAAAATTGCACTTGGACACACACAGATAATATATAATAAATGGGGCATTCAAAATTTACACAAACGCATACCTTTCTTTACCTTTATAAACGAATACTTGGAATCCATTTTATACTTAACATTCTTCATAAATATGGACTTCTAAAAGTAACACATAGACGTTCTCAAATCGACGCGACTTTCTATGATCTACATATGTCACAATATATATGACTGTATCCCATTAATTAATAAAATATGCTATTATGCTCCCACCAAGGTTATTCGTAACAAATTGCTATCGAACCAATGCTGGTAAACATTCACCGATGTATCGTTTAGTAGAAAATTACATATTAAAATTTAGCACAGTTGATATGGCGGCTACGAGTCAGAACTTTGTTTCGAATACAAAGTTTCATCCCTTAATTGATCTTATTATAGCTATTTCTTCGCACTAATGATGTTTAAGTCCTTTTTCATCTGTACCAAATTTTTAAAATAGGTTCAGTAGTTTAGATGTGATTGCGTAATACACAGACATATAGAGTTACTTTCGCATTTATAATTTTAAGACAGGACTGCACCATATATGCAATTAAAATTAAGTTGTATGTCTTTGACAATAACTGTCAAGCTGATTTTAACATCGTGGAATGCGTTACACCATCCTCTTTGTCGACATAGGAAAACAATAATTTTAACTAGCGAAGTTTGGATGGCTTTAAGCAATGACCTCATATCACCATTACCAAATGTTCCAAGTCGCTTTTATCTTAGCTGGTACTTTAACATGTTTGTTATTGTTAAAGTAATAACTAGCCTTAAGTAAGGTTACTATAAATCTAGACAATTATTGCCTCCATACTCAAATAGTTCTACATTGACAGTGAGTATCAAATGACGGATTAACGGATAACATTGAGAACCGAACATTGTGCTTAACCTTTAAGTTAGGATTAACTAAATAAAGTGTAACAATGTATTAAGATTCAGTGATTAAATGCGAGGGTATATATTTGAATTTTGTTTTTTTTCAAATATTTTCTGTGGATGATTTGCATATAACTTGTAATTGTAATATTTAGAGTCTTTACGGTACACTTTTAAATATTATATGTAATAAAAATTTGTTATTAGCTAAAATTGTATTTTGGTATGACACACGAGTATTGATATTTTTTTTTGTGGTAATAAAATAATTTAAATATAATAAATTTAGGCAGCGAAAGCAGTTTATATATTTCATGTTTTTTTCTTAGAATTATAAATTGGGGTTTTTTATTGCGGTTTTCATGGAACTATGGAACCAAAGTGGCGCGTGTGAAAATTGCTTAGTAGCGGGTGATTGCATATTTTTTTTAACACGTGGCTACTGATACTGGCGCACGAGGATTTGTTTACCGGTAATTATTGACAAACTTTGTGAAAATAACGGTAAACGCCGTATCATCTTACATCACTATAGTGCAAGTTTCTAAATCCAGACAGACAAACGAGTTACTGAAGCAAAAAAAGTACAACTTATGAGTTATCCGGCATTCATCGTGTGTCTTTTTTCGATTACCGAAAAGCAAGAACCAACGCGATTAACGGTTTTCGTTACCAGAAAAGGCTGTCGGAGAGTATGAAAAACATGTATCTGACGTCACCACGGGGGAGTGGCACGAATGTTTTCAAAATTGGTTCAATCGTATGAAAAAGTGCATTGAAGAATTGCAAAGAATATTTTAAGTAACAATAAATAAATTTTTGACTGTGAATGGTATTTTTTATTATTCATTCACGAAGATTTTAGAGCGTCCCACACATTAGGAAAATAATTCTATTTCTTTGATAACATGCGACTACGGATCAATGTTAAAACAATCCCGAATTGTTATTAGATTTTTTATGGTGTGTTTATCGAGTTGTCTAACATATATGGCTTCAATAGTCGCTTAACGGCCAAAATCGGAACACCTATGTAAAACAGTAATGACATTCTAAGTCGGGATATCCTCAATTCATATTAGGATCAATTTGAACTTTAATAGTCAGGATTAGAATACATCAAAAGGTCGCTGAACTTTGACCGTCATTTCGCTGTGACACAATTTAATAGTAATCTAGTTTCTCAAGGCTTTCGCTAGATGGCAGTTTGATTAATTAAGAAAAACTGAATGAATTTTTTGTTTGAAAATAGATAATAAAAGCTTTCTTTTTTTAAAAATTTTTACTTCATTTTTGAAGAAGTTATTTGGTTTTCATATTTTTTTATCGACTTCTAAATCTAAAAGGAGGGGTTTATGTCCGACGGTGATGTATCTTATGTTCACCGATTTCTCCGTGAATTGTGCCCGACGTAGTCCGATATCTTTTATTTTCTGAAATCAGATCATCATATTTATTTTATATAAATATAACTGGTTTTATGTATGTTCACAGATTTTTCCGCTAATTCTTGATTGACTTTTAAATTTCCTGCCTGTAGCTGAATGTTTTTTACTCCTTCTTTAGCCTGAGGTCCCATTTGATTTTTTTCTGAATCGAATGAGAAGTTTTGTTTTTATAACAAAATAACTGGAAATATTTTGCCAAATACAAAAATCGCTTAATACACCTGAGGTGCGACCGCCTACCCTCTAGCCAACGCCAGTCATAGGATATGACATGTTAGCGATATTTCGTTTAATTTTACTACTTTAACATGTACTTTAGTAACGTTAAACGAATGATAAATCATGAAGATTATGTATTTAATAGCGGTGTTATCTACTAAGTCATTTATTCCGAATTTTGTCCACTAAGAACTTGTCCAAGAAATAAAATGAAACGAAGTAACACCATAATATCGCTAAGATATCGTATGATATGACTGGAGTTATAGCTAAAGGTAGGAGGTCGCTTTGCTAGCAGATATAACGAGTTATGTCGTCAGAAAAACAAATGGTTTCAAAATAGAAAAAGGGATTTTCCGAATTCAATAGATAGGTATGTATATTTCTCCGCAA